AAGAGCTTTATGTGGACCTGGCAGATTTTTCAATTTACATGACAGGTTGAGTAAATGCAACATTTATTATGTATCAAATAAAGTTATTTCTCTCTCTCTCTCTCTAAATATATATATTTCTCTACATTTATATGTGTAGGACATATCTTTAATATTTGTTTCAGTGGAATGAAGCAGTTATTGCTGCAGAACTTATTTAACTAAGAATGGCAATACTGGATAAATTTTCGAGATGCCAACGTGGGTGCGAATGTGTGTGTGTGTATGCGTGTGTAGTGAACCTTGAAACAACAAAGGGTAGTAGGGAGAATAGGTACACACTTGAGAGTTTCATCAGTAAAGTCAGGGCAATTGAGTCATGGAAGGATGTTCATAAATTGGCAAAGTTTTATTATCATTAAGAATGCAAAATAGTTCTTGAGATATTCTATGAGGATTTTGAGGCCCAGAAAGAGATGAACAAATATAGCTAAGGACCCAGCCAAGCTCCCTAAGCAGTAGACTGAGGCTGGACCCCTGGGCTTCTGATGCCTGCACTCCTTCCAAAGATGTTGTTGCTCATCAATGCTCTTTAAACATTTTGACTCACCCAAATATATTCTTGGCTTCCAGAGGCATATTTTATAGTCCGAAAGTCTCCTGATCAATTGTCTGCAAATGGAGGCAGAAATGGGAAAAGAATCTGGGATAAAGCAAGATAGTGAAGCTTGGAAATCCTTCACTGGTGAGTAATTAAACAGTTTCTCTAGGCATAATTGCAGAATCACTCACATGATATTTTGTGGCTAAACAGATTAGCTGCAGACACAAAGCATTGGCAAGGGGACTGCATATCAGCAGTGACTCAGAAAAGTAACCTATTCCAGTCACTTTTTCATTTTTACAGACCGTAGTTTATTAAATCATTTTTAGTGGCTATTGATACAGATGTAATTCCTTTCAATTGTTTATCTTTCATAGGACTTCCTGTTTTTAGAACACTTACAGGATTTTCCTAATGCAAACATGTCAGAAAAGACTCTGAGTTTCATTCCTTATAGAGGCTTTAAGCTACAGTTGGCCTCCATAGCTTGTTCTGGATGATAAAACTCCAACTTATGAAACACCCTTGAGTGAACAAGAATTGAAAAACTTTTAAATGAACACGTCTGGCTAAGGGAATTTCACTGGAACTATCAGAAAGAGTTAGCCACGCCCCCCTCCAGTCTGATACCAGGGGAGCTCTTTTCATTTATTGTCTATCATCTAGCCAGTACCATTTTCATTTGGCTTTTAGCAAGTGTGAATTAGCAATAGATCCTCCACCTGTCTGATAACTTTGAAGTGTAAAATCTCATTTTTTTTCACTCGGTCAGGTGTTGGAGACTAGTTCAGCTGTGTTACACATTTGACAATGTTGTCATTTCCTTTCTAATATTCTTCTGTAACATTACTGAGAAGAGAGCAATGCATATGAATATGGCTTTATATGCATAGTAAATTTTGATAGCACTTTGTTCTTGGGGCTCATCTCTGGATATAGATCTGTAATTGTTAATAGTGAGTTGAAGAATACAGTGCTATGCTTTATTAATACATGACAGAGACATAATTTCTCCTAACTGAAAGATATCATTTGACCAGTAGGTCAGAGAATGGCAATTACTGTGGAGGTACAGATTACAACAATGATAGGAAATCATTAACAATGGCATTTTGGTTTAAAACTGTGTACTTTCTGAAATGTTTCCCTCAATTGACTAATTTCCCTCAGGCAGAAATAAAGAAAGAGACCAGCTCAGTTTAATAGCTTTTAAATTTTCCTATCTATGTCTGAGGCTGAGACTATTTTCTTTGAGCACATTGGGAAATTGTTCCCAGACCTCTAAGGGTAAGGTTGAGTGAATGTAATTCCCAGAAAATTAAGCAAGGTTTTGTGTCTTGATTTATTTTTTTAATGTCCTCATCTAATATCTTTGAAGGTAGCTGGTCATGTGCAGAGCAAAATATGTAGTAGAATTTTTTTTTTTTTTTTTTTTTTGCTTTCAACTGACTGAGGCCAACACCACTGGCCAGACCATGAGATGGCTATCTTAAACTGAATTTTAAGAGCAGAGAACATTCACTCATGGAACATTATCTCGGACCCTAAAAATGATATTAAAATGAAAAGTTCATATGATTTCAGATCCAGGTAACAGAAAACCCTGGCTCACCATGCCTTTAAATAGAACAGCTCAACACAACTTCTGCAGATCATTCATCTCCAGTGCTGGGTTATACAGAGTATCAACAACCTCAGTCTTCCCATTCTGAAGCCATCAGATTAAATCATTTTACAGATAGTATGTTTGCATGGCAACATTCTGAGGCAAAACATGAACATGTTCTCTCAAAAGTTTCATTGACAACAGAAACGTTTCCTATAAACCCCTGGGCAGATGTATGCCCACTTCTTAGTGGTCATGATTGGCTCACACAGAAACCAGTCACCACAAGGGCAAAGGTCCACCATGATTGGCTTCAACAATCACGATTCACAATCTGAGGCCCTCCTCCCTAGAAAGATGCAGCCAGAAGAAGAGGATGGATCCCTGAACAAATGCAGGGGTCTATTAGGAAGGAAGGAAGAAAGGAAGAGGAAGGAACCTTGATGTGTACACGACAAATCCTGTCTGGCATACCAACACACCTATACAGTTAAAAGATGTCAGTTATTTAGAAGGGTCAACACATTTACGGTTTCTATTTGTTCTTAAGTCTTTAAATGATGCTTCAAATTTTCAAAATGCTGTATCACACATATTATCAAATTTAATTATGTAATTGACCTTTATTTCATAAACCAGGACTATAAGCATGTAAAAATCTGTTTTATAACTGAAACGAATTTCTACCCTAACTCTCCATTTCAACTGAGGTAGAAAAGCTAATTGTTGTATATGCATTTCAGACTCAGTTCGCTTACAGTTTTATTTGCCTCTTCTCCCTCCCCCAACCTTATGGGGGCAGAGATGGGAAGGTTATGTACCAGCAAAGTAAGTGGGAGAAGTGGAGAGCAGGATTTGCTTATCTGTCATTATGTGTCCATACCAAACAGTATCCACTGACATGTCTGTCATTAGTTCTGGGTTGTTCTTATCCTTTGATGTTGGTAAATGTGGAAACAGTTGTTTATTCATGCCATTATCTACCATTGAACTCCCTCTTCCCAACTATGAGATGTTTTCAGGTCCACTGAATGTATCAGCTACGTCCACTCTCTTCCAGCCTCATCCTATCTCTCATGCCCTTCTGGTGAAACTTGACCATGTTGTCTCATGTCCCCTGCCTAAACAAACACACAATGCCCCATCTGCCCCACTTCCAGCTTTTTATGGCGAGGCAAGGAAATCTTGGTTACCCATCTCCATATCTTCAGAAGAAAGTGGGGCACACAAACCTACTGCTTAATGCCCAAACTTGTCTTGAGGTTCTAATACCCCTCCTCACTCCTGGTTTGCCTCATGGCAAAGTCAGGATGCTCTGACTTTTGAGAAACCCACATAGCTAGTGCTCTGGCTTAAACACCATGCTCAGCACCCTTATGGATCTGAATTTTGGTGATCAAAACACAGGTTTTTTAGACCCATAAACCTCTTTTCTCAAACTATTTTCTCTTTGTGGGTCGCAAAAGTCTAATTTGAAAGTCAACAGCTTAGGGAAATTAGTACAGAAACGCTCGCTGTTACTTGACTGTGAAGAAGGCTGGGATATCAGGAAACACTGAAGGAGGAACCAAAGGCATAATGAGTGAATTATCATCCTGCTACAATAAGGAAATGGCCTCAAGTAATCCATAGCTAGTTAAGGAAAGAGCCATGGGATAGAATGCAAATTTTCCCTTTCAAATCCTGTGTTCTTGTCACTCTGACATCATACCATTAGCTGTTCAGAATATTTTCAAAACCCAAGAAGCATTAATAATATTTGTATCTGGCTCCTGGCCTCAAAGCACCCAGTTGAGAATTGTGTTTGGGCCAGCCACCTCAGTGGGCAAAACTTGTCAGCCAATCTGCCCATCCTCAACTTCCCGGACCAATACTGAAGGCTGCCTTTCCTGACACTACTCAGACCCCAAACATTTTCCACTCTGTGGTTCATTCCTTCTGGACTGAGTGTGTCTCCTCAACAACAGTTTAATCTGAGGAATTAATCTCTGTCAACCTGTTACCTATTCCATATAAGTTACATGTACTTTTACCTAGGCACCTTGGGAACAAGAGTTTAATTCAGTGGATGACATGATTCTGCTAGTTAGAATTTCATGAACCAGATAGACCAGAAGAGGGAGAAAGAGGTAATTATAAAAGAGGATTATAAGATCATTTGTTTGTCAAAGGTACCCCAGAGGATGATGAAAGAATACTCAAATTCCTTCAAATCTGTCCCAGTGGATCATTGCCTCCTGGCTGGAAACAGTCCACTTCATACTTGGAAATACAGGCGACCCAGAACTTTCCCCTCCAAGTAGAGGGCACAGTTCAATCTTAAATTCCAAAAGAACATCTACACAATCTATTAGTATTTACAGCTTTGACATTTGGCAAGGAATTTTGACTATGCCCAGCTGAGAAGCAATAAAACTCCTTTGTGTGACAAATTGCTTTGGTATTGAGGGTCACTGCCTCAGTATGAGCAAAGTCAGTCAAGGAGAAAACTAACCAGTTCAGAGTGTAGTCCTAATGGTTATGCTTTAATGGAAAGTTAACTCATTATTTAAAAGTTAAACTACCATTTCTAATCTGTCTTAGTATAACTAAGATTGAAGGTGGACACTCTGAGTTGTAATTCATTAATACACCTTGACATTATTAATCTCTTCATTTAGTATATTCTTAATGGCAAGGGCAGTAAAAAAAAATGTTTCCACCAAACAAATAAAAAATCAGATGTGTACTTTTAACAAATTAATTATTTCAAGTTATATTTATTGAAAACTTACTATGCCTAGTAGCAGGTGGATACAAAAATGTATGGCATTGGTGCCAATTAAATACAGTTTTATTTAAAACATTGTATTTTCCACTTAACAATACAGTGCTTATAGAGTGCAATGTTTGTTTCCTTTCCCTATGCATGTATTCCATATTCAAGTATCAAGAATGCCCAGTTTATTTACTATAGCAGCTCAACATTAAAACTGTCATGGAATTTGCTACAAATTTGGGTCCTTCGAATATTTTATGGGGAACAATGCTAGACCTATTCTCAGGTTGGCTTAATCAACCTCTTCGATGGTGGGTCCAGAGGAGGCACCACCAGAGGGAGGACCTCCACCACCAGGGAAGCCTCCAGGCATTCCTCCTGGCATGCCCCCTGCACTCTGGTACAGTTTGGTAATGATAGGATTGCAGACTTTCTTGAGCTCTTTCTGCTGGTGTTCAAATTCTTCCTTCTCTGCAGTCTGGTTCTTATCAAGCCAATTGATGATTTCATTGCACTTGTCAAGAATCTTCTGTTTGTTCTCATCATTGATCTTGCCCTGACGTTTTTCATCTTCAACAGTTGCTTTCATGTTAAATGCCTGAGACTCAAGTGAATTCTTGGAAGACACCTTGTCCCGCTGTTTCTCATCTTCAGCTTTGTACTTCTCAGCTTCCAGGACCATGCGCTCAATGTCTTCCTTGCTCAAGCGGCCCCTGTCATTAGTGATGGTAATCTTGTTCTCTTTTCCTGTGCTCTTATCCACAGCAGAGTCATTGAGGATACCATTAGCATCAATTTCAAAAGTGACTTCAATCTGAGGAACGCCACGAGGGGCAGGAGGTATGCCTGTGTGTTTGAACTTGCCAAGTAGGTTGTTATCCTTGGTCATGGCATGCTCACCTTCATACACTTGAATAAGCACACCAGGCTGGTTGTCAGAGTAGGTAGTGAAGGTCTGTGTCTGTTTGGTAGGAATGGTAGTATTATGCTTGATGAGAAGAGTCATGACTCCTCCAGCAGTTTCGATGCCAAGAGAAAGTGGAGTGACATCCAACAGCAGCAAATCTTGAACATTTTCATATTTGTCTCCAGAAAGGGTGGCTGCCTGGACAGCTGCACTATAAGCAACAGCCTCATCAGGTTGATGCTCTTATTCAGTTCTTTCCCATTGAAGAAATCTTGTAGAAGTTTCTGAATCTTGGGGATACGGGTAGAACCCCCCATCAGGACAATATCATGGATCTGAGACTTGTCTAGCTTGGCATCCCGAAGGGCTTTCTCTACAGGGTCCAGGGTGCCATGGAACAGATCAGCATTTAATTCTTCAAACCAGGCACGAGTAATAGAGGTATAGAAGTCGATTCCTTCATATAGAGAATCAATCTCAATACTGGCCTGCGTGCTGGAAGAAACTGTATGCTTAGCACGTTCACAAGCAGTTCGGAGACAATGAACTGCCCTCTTGTTTTCACTGAGGTCCTTCTTATGTTTGTGCTTGAACTCTGCAATAAAATGGTTGACCATTCTGTTGTCAAAGTCTTCTCCACCTAAGTGGGTGTCTCCAGCTGTGGATTTGACCTCAAAGATCCCATCTTCAATAGTAAGGATTGACACATCAAAAGTGCCACCTCCTAAGTCAAAGATCAGCACATTCCTTTCAGCACCAACCTTCTTGTCTAAGCCATAGCGATAGCAGCAGCAGTTGGCTCGTTGATGATTCAAAGTACATTGAGACCAGCCGTTCCAGCATCTTTAGAAAACAGCTGTCTGGTGATCTAGCCCAGCGTTCAATGAGCTGTATGGCATTCTTTTACCTCTAGGTGCTTCTCATTTAAGGGAGGACACAGATAATCAAATAGATGAAGACAGTTTTAGGTTAAGTATCCCGCAATGGGTAAAAGGGTGGAGTCTCATGTGATTTAAGGAAAAAGAGAGGTTCCTTTTGTCTAGAGTGATAAAGAAGGATTTCATTGAAAAGAGACACTTGAAGGATGGTGGGATTTTGAAGGATGCCTCTTGAAGGATGGTAGGATTCTGAAAGAAAAATTGAAGAAGAGAGTGTGGTCCCTGAACGTATAACCTATGAGACACGGGAACTACTATTTCAAAAACCATCTGTGGTTTCCTCTAACACCTTCAAGTTTTTTCAGAGTTCCATGCACTGGATGACTAAGCCAAATGGCCCAATTATCTCCGAGGAAGCTCAAAGATAGATTTAAAAGGCAGATAAAGATTTCTACATCATACCTAAAAAGACCTCAAGAATGGAAGAAGGCATTCCAATCTGCACCAACATTTACCAATTCTAGGATATAAATAGCACATGGAAGTTCATGAGCTGCCTCTCACCGTCAGGTTGACCTACCTTGGATATAGAGCCCAAGTCATGAGTACTTGTGGGAGCCACAAATGACAGCCTGAATGATCCTGCCAAGACAAAGGCAGGGATGCTTATGTTGACTTTCCAGTGTCTGGCACGACACATGGTACCCAAAGGGGGCCCCAAAATATGAATTAAAGAAGAAAACAGAAATTGAATCAGTCTTAATGAATACAGTTACTCTTCATATCCTCTTCAGCTAAATCTCAATTACTAGACAGGTAGGGTCAGCCAAAATTTATATTAAACAAGCACTTGGGGGTGAGATGAGAGAAGAGGATAGAAGATTGTTCATAGGATTAGAAAATGGTCATTAGGAATGATGTTAATGCATTCAAGTCATTCTACATCTTCATGCCTTTCAGTTTGTGTGATGCATCTGTAATAGTTATATACTTTCTGTCCACCCTACAGGCTTAATGAATCATCATGCAATCATCAAATTGGACTCTATTCTGATTTTCTCTCTAAATATTGGAGAACGCAACTCTCTCAATGACACAGCATTGCCCTGTTTTATCATCTGCCAAAATAATTATTCAAATTAGTTATTACTTTACTCACTGCTCAATTCTGGGGTGTCATTAGTAATAATACATATCATCTTACCTAACCAGTCTTCAATTAGGCTCAAGTCAATTCCTATTTACACTACCCTAGAAATTTGTCTAGGAGATTCACCAAAAGCCACTTTCTATCCTTCCTTTTGACACAAACATAAAAAAGTTACAGAATACCTTATGCTGTCTTGCAGATGAAACCCTCAGATATTCATACTCCTTTTACTGAGGTAAACAAAGCAGATGTTATTCACACCATCCCTATTTTACAGATAAGAACAGGGAAGAACATAACCTGCCCAATGCCACACAGATGGGATATGCCTGTCCCTATGCTATTCTGCTAAACTGAGCTGTCTCCGACTTCAACGAGGCCTTTCATTCTGAAATTACTGTTCTCCACCCTGTGCTCCAACCCTCCACCCACTGCTCAGTGTCACACTTGTTCTAATTCTGGACTGGGCAAGAATAAAATGTAGAATGCTTTCATTGAAAGCACTGTACTAATTTTCTCAGATTGTTTTCCATGATGACATTTACTTCTTCTGGCAGCTTCCACTGTGTCATTTAGGCCATTTAATTGGTGTGTCTCTATCTTCGGTGGCACATGAGGTTCCTGAGCCCATTTAGGGAAAAAAAATGGAGTGGCTCAAATTTCCTCACAGCAAATCCATAATCTAACCCAAAGATTTAATTTCCTTCACCTGATCCATTGCCCTTGAGGTGAGATTCTTTTGCAAAAGGAGGCCAGTATCTATTTCTGCACACTCTGCTTTATATCAGATCTTTATTACCCTTCTGATAGACAAAGTATGGGCAGCAAGTCAATGTGTCCCAAGGTAGAGTTTTCAGGTCAATAAAACAACTGCTTAAGTCTTCAGATGTGAATATCAGAAAGTGAGTTTCATCTAATTTCATAAACTTAAAATATATTTTATCCACTGGACTTTGACTTATTAATAGAAGAAGAAAATCAACACACTCAAAGAATGTAATAAAGACCAATTTTAGCAATTCTGAGTAAAGAAATCATCATCAGTAATTGGTTTTCTGGAATAAAATTTGATTTATTGTAAAAAAAATATATCTACATTCCACAGAAGATTTAGAACTTTGTTCTCTATGCAATATAGGAAAAAGCATCTTGAATACAAAGGTGTTCTTTCCCAATATAGTTATAAAAATAGACATTATAAAGCATTATAAAATAAACATAAAAATAAATTTAGTTATACAAATGAGAACAATCTCAAAACAGAAATATATATATGTGTGTGTATATATATATTTATATATATATAGTATATTCAACACACATATATATATACACACATATATAAATGTATATATATACACATATACATATATAAAGCATACATATATATATATGCTTTATATACACATATGAGAATCAAACCCACTCTGGTTTCCAGGGTCTGTGTTGGCTATTAGATCTGTCCACTCCCAACCATATCTGTCCACTACCCCTTTCCAGGGTCCTTGGAAACTATCCTCTAGAAAATGCTTCAGCATTCAACGGGCTTCCTTACCCATTGGCTTCAAATTTGGCCAAGGTGAGGCACCAGCAGGAGATTGCAGCTTGGGAAGAGAAAGAAATCAGAGTATTTATTCCCTGAGCTAGCTCTCTCCCTAATGGACCAAGATTAGCGATGGTTCTGTTCCACGACCAAAGGCCATAGGTCATACTGAGTAGTCTTCTAAGGATGTCTCCTCTTCTTGCCCTTTTAGGCCCTAATGGTGGTAACAGCTCCCTCCTAATGGTGGTAACAGCTCCCTGCGTTTCACTTTTTTATTAGCTCTGGAGTATATCACCAACCCAGCAGGTTATCTTTACCTCTCCCTTCACCTTTGTAATTATGTGTTCATTAAACTCTCTTCACTTACCCGGTTGAATGTGCCATCTGTTTCCTGTCTGACCCTGAGTGGCCAGCACCCATTCTCCCCGTAATTGGGGCGCCATCATTCCTACCGTCATGTTCTGCTCTATCTCACTCCCAAGACCAAGCCTAACCTACAATAATGGGCACTAAGCAATCCCAATGCTTTCACCCTCTCAGCCACTGCATCACATCTCCCTTGTAGATTTTTGGGGCCCTGAAACACACTGATGGATTTGCCTGTCATGTTCATCTGATGGGACTTCCAAGGCAAGGACCGTGATGTTACATCCCTGACAGAAGGAACTGGACAGACCAGATTTACCTCATTTTGCCATCACGTCTGTCCTTTCTAGCCTCCTCTCCCTCTAACGGGACCCAGCGATTGAAGTCCCAGAACCGCTCATGGGTTTTTCTTTGCCAACTGACTGTGTAGGTCTCTAATCACTGGCTGCTATGAGGCTACCCTGTTCGTGGCCATGTTCCATTTTCCTTTGGGGAGTCCCTTCCTTTATTCCCATACCTACCTCTAGAAATTGGATGAAAACTCCCCAACGCTGAGTCTTTGCCCAGTTACCACCTCTGGCTGTTGGCAACTCTCTCTGGACACCATGTTCTGCTAGCCTGGTTTCAGCCCCAGAAATTCATCCAGTGCCTCTAGTGCCCACTTAATGTAGCTGCCCATTCCAACTGAGCTTACCCTCTGTCTCACCAGTTACAATTCTTCAAGGCATTTTCCTTGACCATTTCATTACCGGAATGAAATTTAGACCCTGCCTGTCCTCTTAGTGGGGCATGCTTGAGGAACCATAAAAAGCTCTAGTCCACTAACCAATAGGTTTTCTCCACCCTCCCCCACCTTCCCCTGCAGTGGAAAATGGAAGCTGATCCCTAAGAGTAGAGAAACTGTTTTAGACACTTTGAAAGACAAGGTCCAGAACGAATTTCTTTTGAATAAAATATTACATGTAAATTAGCACTTTTCCCTCTTCCATTGCCTCACAAAATCTTTCTTAAAATGTTCACTTCTTAATAGTTCACTGAGAAAGTGGAGCTGTCTGTGGCATGCTTCATGCTGCCTGCATCGAGGTGGTGGGGGGTGGAAGTGAGTGCTTTCTGAGTCCCTGCTATATGGGGCTACTGGTTTTTTTCCAAATCAAGGAAGGGAGGAAACACCTATTTATCCGACTTGTCTTTAATTCTCCATCTAATTCCCTGGGGAAGATAATTACTAATTAAACTGCTTATTTCCAAAACTCTAATTATATCAAAAACAATAAAGCAATCAACTAAAAAGTAAAAGCACAGATAAATCAACTAGTTGTTTTGCCAGCTGCTTTTGTTTATTTGCTTAATGAAACAGGTCAAAAGACACCACCGAATTGTTCCATTCACCTTTGGTGTGCCCGAGGGAATAGAGGAGCGACAGTTGCTGCAAACCCACTCCAAAGTCAGCATCCCCTCCTGGTTATGCTCCGTCGCTGGAAGTACTCACATATTACACGATTTTTTAGCAAGACTGCTAGTGGGAGATTTAAGTGGTGATGTAATTTGGAAAGAAAACATTTGGCGTTTCAAGTTTTCATCCATTTTTTGGAGTATATAGCAGTGTTAAGGAAATGGAAAATCAGATTTTATTCAAAATTTGGAAAATATGGGACAGCACATCTTCTAAAACTGAACTTTTGATTCTTTTCATGAGCATCAGAGATGTAGAAAAATAAAACATCTAGCTTTTAACTTCTCAACTAATATTAGCATAAAATTCAAAGCTCTTACCTGGACCCTATGTGATCTTGCTCCCAGTTTCTCTCTGACCTCATCTCTGTCCATGATCCACTTTGATCTCAGGACCTTGGCTACAGTATAGTCCTTAATGTACCACAGACAGGTCAAGCACACCCTGCTTCAGGGCCTTTGCACTTGTTCTTCCCTTTAGAGAGATATGTTGGCAGATGACTATCTCCCTCACTTCAACTAGGTCTTACCTCAAATGGTAACTCACTGTAAGGACTTCTTTCCATTTTATCAAGACTTTCCCCTCCAGAACCTTCAACCCCTTACCCTGCTTTGTTTTTATAACAGTGACCATTCCCTGAGCTAGTATTAAGTAACGATTTATTTGTTTATTGCTTGTCTCTCCACTAAAGGGCAAGAACTTTGTTTTTAAACAGGTGAATTTTATTATAAATGTAACATCTGCAAAAACTCAGTGGTATATTAATGTTTATTTTAAAGCCTTTCAGAGCTTTGGGTGGACAGCATCTTAAGGAATCAAGTATTTTTATTCCCAGCTCCAATAAAAAAAATTACTTTGTGCATGTAGGTGTTTAATAAATATTTGTGAATTAAAAAATTGAAAGAATGACGCTAATCTCCAATTGTCAATAAATCTTCCACTTTTCAAAATCAATTTGTTTTCCAGGCTCTGCAAGGAAGGTGTTGTTCTCAAGAGGATATTTATTTACCACCACTACTTTGATCTCTTCAGAAAGTAAAAATGGTCTCTCTTTTGAAAACAGAATAGAATTCCAATACACACTGGATGGCTGGTAAGCTTGTGTATCTACTCATGTGAGCCAGTTTGCCACACAATAAAACTGAAATTTACACACTGGCAAGTCCAAAAATGTAACAAGAAAACCCTTCTTCAAACAGATGCACCTTTTCTTCTGAATAACATAAGATGCATGAAAACCTATCAATCCACATTTTTTATTTTTATTATATATTTTTAAAAATTTTTATTTATTTATTTATTTATTTATTTATTTATTTATTTATTTATTTATTTGACAGAGAGAGAGAGAGAGCACAAGCACGGGGAGCAGCAGAGGGAGAGGGAGAAGTAGAATCCCTGCTAAGCATGGAGCCTGATGCGGGGCTCGATCCTGGGACCTGAGCCGATGGCAGACTCTTAACTGACTGAGCCACCCAGGTGCCCCTCAATCCACATTTTTTAAACCTTACTCACAAATACGTTTTAAAAAAGACTTACTTTATTGAGACATATTTCACATACCATAAAATTTATCCTTTTAAAATGTAAAACTCAGTCATTTTTAGTATAATCAAAGTGGTACAATGATAACAATGATCTAATCATCGAACATTTTCCTCACCCTAGGAGGAAACCCTATACCCGATAGCAGCCACTTCTCATTCCCCTCTGACAACCACTCATCTACCTTGTGTTTCTATGGATTTGTCTATTCCAGAAATTGTGTATAAATACCAGCTTCTTTCACTAAGCACAGAATTTTAAGGTTCATTTATTTTTCATTGATAAATAATATTCTATTGTGTGGGTATACCACTACCCATTCCTCAGTTGATGGACATTGGGGTTGTTTCCACCTTTTGGCTATTATGAATAATGCTGCTATGAACACTGATGTATACATTTTTGCCTGGACATATGTTTTCAATTCTCTTGGGTACATGCCTGGAAATGAAATTGGAGTCATATGGGTAACTATATTTAACATTTTAAGAAACTACTGGACTGTTTTCCACAGCAGCTGCACCATATTACATTCCTACAGCAATATATGAGGCTTCCAATCTCTCCACGTTTTTGTGAACACTTGTTTTTTTCTGTCTTTTAGATTCCAACCCTTCTAGTAGGTATGAAGTAGTATCTTGTGGTTTTGATTTGCATTTTCTAATGATTAATGATGTTGAACATCTTTTCATATGCTTGGAGGTCATTTGTTTATATTCTTTTTTTTTTAAAGATTTATTTATTTGAGAGAGCGAGAATGAGAGAGAGAGGAGGAAAGAGAGAGAGAGAGTACATGAGAGGGGGTTGGGTCAGAGGGAGAAGCAGGCTCCTCACTGAGCAGGGAGCCCTTTGCGAGACTCCAGGATCATGACCTGAGCCAAAGGCAGTCGCTTAACCAACTGAGCCACCCAGGCGCCCCTGCTTATATTCTTTAAAGAATATGTTCAATTTATTGAATGTATTATTCATTCAAATCTTTTGCCCCATTTTTCAATTGGATTATTTGTCTTTTTATTGTTGATTTGAAAGTGTTCTTTATATATTCTGAATATAAGTCCCTTATAAAATAGATGATTTGCAAATATTTTCATGCATTCTGTGGGTTGTCTTTTCATTCTTAGTTGTACCCTTCGAAGCACAAAAGTATGACATTAAATGAAGTTTAATGTATCTGTTTTTAATTTTGTCACTTGTGCTTTTGAAGTCATATCTAATAAACCATTGCTAGTCCAAGACCACAAAGATTTACTTCTATATTATTTTTCTAAGAGTTGTATAGTTTTAGCACTTATATTTAAGTCACAGATCCATTTTGAGATAATTTTTGTATATCATGTGAGGTAGAGATACAAATTCATTTTTTAATGTGGATATGCATTGTCACGTATTTATTAAAGAGACCATTCTTTTCCTATTGAATGGTCTTGGCCCCCCTGCTGGAAATCAATTGGCCTTAGATGTACAGGTTTACTTCTGGACTCTCCGATCTATCCTATTGATCTGAATGTCTATCCTTATGCCAGTACCACAGTATTTTGATTACTGTTACCTTGTAGGAAAAAACAGTGGCAATTATCTTAAGGTAGAGCTTTTGACGGGGACTGAACTATCCTCACCCTTTCCAGGGGCTGCTAGGCTGCTGATTTTCATAGCCACCATGCTTGTAAGGCTATTGGCTTCAAGACCACTGCGGAGTTGGGAGAAGAAGATGGGAATAAGGCAAGTTAAGATACCACAGACTTCTTGTTCTAACCTTAGTTCAGCCACTTTTCATTAATAAATGCTCCTTAGATTTTTTGTAAGCATTTCACCAATTTCCAGACTTTTGAGTGTTTGTTGTTGTTATTGATTTGTTTATTTTCATCAGTGTAATTGTTTTTATGAAGTAGCAGATTTTCAAAGACACATACTCCACCATTTTGGATGTGCTTCTACTCCATCCATTTTTTTTTCTTTTCTTGCACTCCATCCGTTTTTTAACATACAGTTAATTGTGTAACTGCCTAGGCCTTCCACTCAAACCTCTGCAATGTGGCTTGGCGCTCATTTTGGGCCACATGTATTGCTTTATTTTTCCCAAACAAGTTGTAATGA